TCCTTCGGCCTCCAGACTCGGCCCCATTCCTCAGCTCCGGGGTTCTAGGGTCTTCTTCTGATCTCCACCCTGTCACCTCATCCCCTGCACCCCAGGTGCTTCCTTCGGGTTCCTTGTCCCCTTTTCTGATCCAAAGAGCAGCTGAGGACACCAGTTCTCCCAGCCTGGGCCTTCCTTCCGGTCTCCCAAAGACCTCTCAAAGTCCCACAGGCAGCCCTGCCTGGTTTTGCAGGACCGTCTAGGAAGGGGGTGGAAACTGACACCTGAGGGTACAGGGTGGGCGAGGAATGGACCCCCCAGCCTGGTGCAATGTCTGGCTCACCATGGGCCCAGGCTCTCCTGCCATCCTGTGCCTTCTGTCTATTGCTGCCTCCCTGGCTGTCTCTGTCTGTCTGTCTGTCTGTCTGTCTGTCTGTCTGTCTGTCTGCCTGCCTGCCTGCCTGCCTGCCTGCCTGCCTGTCTGTCTGTCTCTCCTCTTTGTCTCTCTGTCTCTGTCTGTCTGTCCGTCTCTGTCTCCTCTCTTTCTCTACTCATCTATCTCTCCATGGCTCAGCACTCTCACCCTGCTTCTGTCTGTATCCTCCACTTGTCTGTTCTCTGGGGCTGTGTCTGCCGCCACCTGTCTGTGTCCTTCTGTCCCTTTGCATCTCCCTGTCTTGCCTAACCCCTGGGCCTCGTCTATCTGTAGGGTGCTGGATTACTACTTAGGCAGCACCTGCAGGGGGAAGGCACAGAGGCCCTGTTCACACACCTCTCCTGGGTCTTCCTGCCCTGATTCCTCTTTCCCATGGTTCTCCACCTATGGTTCTGATCCCCCATTCATCATCTTCTCCCACCTAGAAAGCTTAGTCCTGCCCTCTTGACTCTCCAATGAGAGGCTTTGCTCTGAGTGCCCATCTACTTTAGCTCCCTCCAGAGTGTAGGGAAGAGGCTCCTCATGGAGACCCCTCCCCAGCCCACATTCTGCCCAGTTCACCACAGTTCAGGTATTTTTTTCTGTTGCCCCTCACTCCCACCCTAAGTATCACTCCTGCCTGGCTCTTCTCCACTTCTGGGTCTCCTTCCCTCAAGGTCACTCACTTGACAGTGCAGGACTGTAGGAAGAGCACAGGACGGGGAGTCCTTTTGGTTGTTTTTCATCAGACTAACCAGCTTCTGCAACTTTGGTCATGTCCATACTTAACCATCCAGTCCATTAGATCTGGCCCTGACTTGACCGATCAGTTTTAGACATGGACCCCTGGGTGGAGCCAGCCAATGGGCAACAGAGGCTTCCGACACAGGCACAAAGATCCTGGGGTCTCTCTGAGGAACTGATAGCTAAGTGGCCTATTTGAGGCCATAGCTTTCCCCATGTTTCCCTTTCTCACTTATGAGGTAGGGGGCTGGGCCTCACAGCAAGGGACACTGAGGCTCAGGTACCTCCCTACCCCTGCAGACAGTCCCTCTGCCCCAGTGAATGTAACCGTCAGGCACCTCAAGGCTAACTCTGCAGTGGTCAGCTGGGATGTCCTAGAAGACGAGGTTGTCATTGGATTTGCCATCTCTCAGCAGGTAACCTTGAGGGCCCTTGGGAGGGGAAGATGCATTAAGATGACCCCTATCAAATAGGGGTCAGTGTGTGGTCAGTAGAGGAATACAAAGGAAAAATGGACACAAGGCAAGAGATAGGAGCCAAAGCTGCAATTTTGTCTTGAAGCTGGGATCCCAGAAGGGCCTGAGTCAGGAGGGCTTAGCAATTCAGAGCACTGATCTGATCTTAGGATCTCTGATGTTTAGGCCTTGGCTGTAGTTGTCTATAGATGTGTGGTCTTACACAAACTCCCTAGCCTCTCTGAGCCTGTTTTCTTAGCTGGAGGTGGGTGGGATGATTGTGTATTTGAAGGGCTTGCCCCTGCCGGGAGGGGACCTGACCCACACTTGCCTCTGCAGAAGAAGGATGTACGGATGCTGCGCTTCATCCAGGAGGTGAACACCACCACACGCTCGTGCGCCCTCTGGGACCTGGAAGAGGACACGGAGTACATTGTGCACGTACAGGCCATCTCCATTCAGGGCCAGAGCCCTGCTAGTGAGCCGGTGCTCTTCAAGACCCCACGAGAGGCTGAGAAAATGGCCTCCAAGAACAAAGGCAGGCCTGGAGCATGCTGGATGAGCAGGGTGGGGCAGTTGGGCCAGAGCAATGGGTACAGCAAAGTATCCCAAAGTAGGAGGACCTCACAGAGCATGAGAAGGTTCACTCTAGAACCTAAGCACACTTGTACGCAGTCCACCTTTGGATTGAGTCCAATTGCTACCATCCTAAGCAACCATCCGTATACCCTGTTCCCCCACCCTCAACCCCAGGGTCTCTTTAGGCCAGGTGTGGGCACAGGTAAGTGTTTACTAGCATGGGCTTGGTCCTAGAGAAGTGGCTCAGGGATTAAAGGAGCCCTGGACTAGTATGTGTCTTTCCTCACAGATGAGGTGACCATGAAGGAGATGGGGAGGAATCAACAGCTACGGACAGGCGAGGTGCTGATCATTGTTGTGGTTCTTTTCATGTGGGCAGGTGAGTCAGCCTTTCAACACCTGCTTCACTTATTCTTAGGAAACTGAAGTCCTGAACAGACTCTGTTATAATAAACAAGGGCAAGGGCTTGGAGATATCTGAGAAAAGAAGTCCCTGGGCAGCTCTGGGGGCCAAATCTAGTCCATTCCACCCACAATATAGCATGTTACTAGCTGCCTTGTAGGTTTATATGGAGTCCTGGTATTTCTTCTCTTTCAGAAGTTGTTCAACCTTCTGAGGTGGACACATCCATAGCCCCTGAACCTCCTTCTTCTCTGGGTTTCTGGGGTTCCAGGGGCTCCAGACCTAGGAAGATCAGAGGAAGTCACTGCCTGGCTTCAGGCTAGGACATTCCCCTCACCTACCCATCCTTCAGATCCAGCTGAGTCCACCCCAATGGAAATTCCAGCCATTCTTTGTTTTTTGTTTTTTGCTAGTCCTAGGGCTTGAACACAGGTCCTAGGCACTGTCCTTGAGCTTCTTTTGCTCAAGACTAACACTCTACCACTTGAGCCACAGTGCCACTTCCAGCCTTTTCTGTTTATGTGGTACTAAGGAATCGAACCCTGGGCTTCATGTATGCTAGGCAAGCACTCTACCACTAGGCCTCATTCCCAGCTATTAGAGTGATCTTACTGCCTCTGCTCATACTCTGCACCCTCTTGAGCCCTTCTTATAGAAGTTAGTTAGGAAAACTGCTCTCTTTTCTTGCTGGTCCCTGAGCTCCCTGAGAATAAAGTCCAAGTGTCATTCATTGTTCTGCATTTACTAACCACTCCATCCCAAACTTAGTGTTACTGTCATGACTGAGAAGGGCCCTGCACTTGCAAGGAACTCAGTCTTGAAGAAAGCTAGGCCCAAACTTAACTGTTAATTCACTATGATGAGGTGCTATAAGAGCACCTGTATGGAGCAGAGCAGAGGACATTCATTCTGCATCCAGTAGAAATTGAGAAAAACACAGAGGGGCTGGGAGTTGGATTTATTGGCAGAGTGTTTACCTAGAACACATTAAAAAAAACACACACACACACAAAGTGGAACTAACATGGGTATTAAGCTTTGAAGGCTGAATAGAAGCTCACCAGGCAGCCAAAAGAGGAAAGGGGTTCTGGGTTACGGTGTGTTCAAGAAACAAATTAAGCTCAATCTTGCCAGGGCCACTTTGACCTGTGAGAAAACATTTAGTATTAGAATGTAGTGGTGAAACTGTAGACCAAACTCTTGAGAGTTCTGAACACCATTCTAAAGCCTGATTAGCACAGTGAGTGAGTGTTGAATAGTTTTGGGGAAAAAATGTTCCTTAGGCATGTAGAGAAACAGACACCAGAGGACAAAAAAAAAAAAAAAAAGCAGGAAAAACACATTATTAGAGTTGGCACGGGTAATGTTTATATAATCATAACAATAATAAACATAGCAAATTACTTTGAATTGTGGTGTAATTCTGCTAGGATGATGGAGAGGGAAGGAGGGGGAGTATTCAGACTTTATCTACCACAGTGGGAATTCAACAGACACCTAAAACAGATCGAGAAATACTATAAATATGCAGGTAAAATGGGGACCAGATCTAGAAGTACTGGAATTGGCAGCCTTAATACTGACTTTTAAAAATATGTTCATGTATTATTAGCTTGATAAAAGTGGACATTTAATGGGCCCCAGAGTTTATTCCCAGCCACAGTACACCTCCCAACTGCATTATGACGGGCCCTTGAGTTGTTAATTTTGACTCTCTCTCTCTTTCTTGTTAATAACCTGAGCATGATAGGAGGTATCCCCACTGGGTTGTGAGGATTTAAAGGTGTCAGCACACAGCACAGGACCTGGCACATGTTCAACAAATGCTATTATTGTTTCTGATTTCCCCTAAAGGAAAGGAAAGCTGTCAGAGATTTAAAGGGAGAAGAAACACAATCATGTGTGCTGAGGGAGCATCAGTGAAAGGGATGGCTGGTGAGGGAATAGAAACAAGACCAGTTTCCCTGAAGAAAGAGACTATCTGGAGAGACTGTCAGTAAGCTGTGGTGGGGATGAAGCAGACAAGGCAAGAACTCAGGCCCTGGCCTCTGTTTTCCATTGTCCTCCCCAGGTGTCATTGCCCTCTTCTGCCGTCAGTATGACATCATCAAGGACAATGAACCCAATAACAACAAGGAAAAAACCAAGAGTGCATCAGAAACCAGCACACCAGAGCACCAGGGCGGAGGTCTCCTCCGCAGCAAGGTGAGGAGCAAGGCCTGGGCTGCCTGGGTGTCTCTGTGCCTTGGACACTGGTAGTCCCTGGACTGCAGAAGGGGTCAGCTCAGGGCCTGGCATGATTGCAGCTAGGCAGAGCCAAGCTTGGCTGCTGCTGGTGTGACACGGGACATTGAAAATTGATTTTGGATGCTCTCCTTTTACATTGTGCCAAGGGATAGTGGTATGATGGGACCACCAGAGTAGGGGGTGCTCAGCTCATTTCTGCTCCTACCGTGCTGTTTGTCTCGGGCAGGTGTTCACCTCTGTACTTTCATTTCTCCTTCTGCAAAACAGATATGAAACCTTTTCAGTGCTTCCTCTGAGCAGCTCAGAAGAAAGTAGAGAATGTGAGAGGATCTCATGGCTCTGATGATGATTATCCAACAAACATCTGGCTTCTCTGCATCTCCTGCTCTCCTCCATCTTCTTGTATTCTCTGGCTTACTGTCTTCTCTTTCTGGCACCTTTTCCTGAAGCCTGTTATTAGCCCCATCTACAGAAGCACCTCAGAAATGCCAGTGGCTGAGGCTGTGCACAGATTCATATCTGCAGGAGGAGAGAGAACCAGCCAGTGGATGACTCTGCTGGGGGTAGACTGGGTATCAGGGCTCTGAGTCCAGGACTCAGTCTTGGCTATTCAGCTGTGCAAGGCCAAAGACTGGGTGTGAAAAGGCAGAGACAAAATCTCTAGACAGGACTACTCTTTCTTTCCATGAGGGACAAGAGGTTGATTTTTAGAATGCAGCCTTGCTGTTCCCTTCTTCCTTCTACCCTCTGTTTCTCACCTTGCAAGAAGTCTATTCAACTAGCTCTGGCCACTTCTCTCATGTTTGTCCTCTCAGTTTCCAAACAAGCCATCAGTGAACATCATTGAAGCATGACTGCCTGTCTTCAGAGAGAAGGATTTTGTTTTTCTTCTCTGCTGGTCTCCAGGTACAGGGTACAGGGAGAAGGCCACTGCAGCAGGGAAAGCACAAGCTGCAGTTTTCCCTCTTCTCCTGTAGTCTGATGAAAGAGGCTGATCTACAAACCCAAACCTGCAAAAAATAAGCCACAAAACTAAAAGGCCTGGCCCCATTGTCAAAAAGGAAAAGCTGCATGAGACATGGCCTTCTGCCCCCTTGCTTCTCTTGGACTGGCTTCTTCTCTGAGAAAATGTATTGCTCTGGGAAATGAAAGAACCAAGACTAACAAACTGTCTTTCAGGCCAAGGAGGACTGGGGGAGCCGAAGGGCTGCTGTGTTACAGTCATGGCTTCATCAAGTCTCTTCTGGATCCAGCCATCAAGGACTTGTTTGTAGTATGCTACATACCTTTGCAAGTATGTAAGATGTTACCCATTTGTCTCTTTTGGAAAATAAGGCAGAGGGCCCCATTGCAGAGCACAGAGGATTCTCCCAAGGCCTGAGCTTGTTGCCTGTATCCTGTCTTCTTTGACCCCTTATTTTGATGGTAAGATCATCGGTCTAGGATCTTAAGAAGACATGGGAGGTAATGTCTCTTGGAGTCTCAGCAGTGCCAACTTGAACTGAAAGGGCATATCCACAATCTGTAGCCTAAGGGCTGCTAAGCCACCCTTGGGAGCAGAAGCTGCTAGAAGGCAGGCCCCGCCTGTAGCTGTCACTATTGGCCTTTGGGGTTTTCATATCTTGCCATCTCACCCAGGGTTATGAGTTCTTCAGGGTCCGCATGTCCTTCCTGAGAGCCTAAGTGGTGTAAAGTGACAGGTTTCTCTACTGCCCCTTTCTGGTTTAAAAAAAAAATGGTGCTTGATGAAGAAAGACACTCTTCCCTGGGACTGACACACAGCTGCCAAATGTCTGCATGGGAAGAGGTGGATTCTGCATCTTCTACTGGTAGCCAAGGAGGGGGGAAGGATGTGCCTAGCCCAAGCCTGGCACACAGTAGGCACTCAGTAATGACAAGAGCACTGGCTCCCCAAGCCAGAGAGCTGAAAGCCATCACCCTATGACCGCTCCCTTCCCTCCGGTCTATAAGAGCTTTCAGGCTGGGTCAGCCACCACTCTGCCTTGTCCAAGTATGGCAGCAAAGGGGAGGAGAGATGGAAAGAGATGTCAGCAATACTAAGGGCTTCCTCATGGGAGGGCATGAGGCTCCACTCATTGTCTTGTGACTTCCATCCCTGCTGAATGGGGCTGCAAGGCCAAGGCTCCTTAAGAGAGAGGTCCTTACCTCTAATCCAGTTAGAGCAATAACCACTTTTTAAATGTAAAATAAAAAGACAAATGAAAAGGCACATCCTTGTCTTCTGGTAAATGCCCAAATGTTGCCCTCTTTTTCTGGCAGTTGGCAGCAAGTCAGGATGTGTGGAGGAGGGAATCAGTTCTCTTCCATTTTGGCCTGCAGCTTCTTAGGGACATGCCTGCCAGCCAAGCTGGAGTTGGAAGGGAATTCTCGAACAGATGGGGGTGCACGTGTAGAAGAAAATAGCTGCTCCATCATCCTTTTTTTTTTATGAGGCTCCCCCATGCCCAGCTGGGCTGCCTCACTGCATAGGTATGCAGGCTGGTGCTTGTTTTTTGAAAACAAAGGGGTTTTCCTCTTTGGATAGGCTGGGTGATTTCTCCTGCCAAAGGGATACAATTCTTGTCTCCCTGGGGTAAAGTAGGGGTAAAGAATTACAAAGGCTGCTTTCTGAAGTTCAGTATTCATAGCATGCTGTTCTGGGCTGTTAAAGGAACATCATTAAGCATCCAACAGCAAACTGAAAGGTGGAGAGTAATGGTGCCATTAGCCTATGAGCTAACCAGTAAATGGGGCACCTCGAACATTCTTGTTCAGAACCATGAAGAACTTGGAGACACAATGTCAGATGAGCAGAACTTAAAGGGTAGGTTGTTTAAAAGATTCTTAAAGCAGATGGAAAGCAGGAAACTGAAGAGCACACAGAACTCCAAGCCAAATCTTAGACACAGCCCTCTGTGTCCAAATGATGGAGAGACCATCACTTGTTAGAGAGATGTCAGTGGGGCTTGGGGAATTCTGCAATGGAGGTTTCCAGTACTCAACTTTACTATAAAGGGCAAAAGAGGAGAGGAGTAAACAGCACTCCTAGCATAGATAAAGCAAACTTTCCTTTCATTGTCTCCCTAAATGAAAGAGGATTGTGCATTCCCTAAATCAACTGTATTTGCAATGACCAGGGATGTTATCCCTTCACCACTCACTTCTCACACAGCTCTGCAGAGATTTCCTCACATGTTGAGAAGGGACCAGGCAGTTCTTTGAAATGGAAGACACCTAACTTGCCGAACACAGCAAGCCTGTGGGAGGAATGCTGGACGGAGAGGCAGGAGACCTTATTTGGTTCATTCCCTTTCTACCAAGAGAGGGGTCCAAAGAGAGCATTCCAAGAGCCTACCCACCTACTAGAGTTTCTCTCCTCGAAAGAGCCCTAGGATCTGAGAGGAGTTAAGACTGGTGGAGCAGGAATCCTTCCTCCTCCTACACCTGTCCTCTGATGCCTGGCTTCCCAGAATGAGACTCTAGAATCCATTTTTTAAGATCTCTAGCACAATCCTTTGCAGGAAGATGGATTATCTCATGAATCCATTTACATTTCAGACTTCTACTTTCTCATTCTCCTAATCCATTTGACAATTTTTGGATTTTGCTTTGAAGAAGTACCCTCAAGGACAAATTGCTTCTATAAATGAGACACCCTTGTTTTCCCTAGCTCCAGCCCCACCAATAAGTAAATATCCAGGGGTTCAAGGCAAAGTGCAAAGCTCTGAGTTCAGATCTCAGCATGGCAAAAAACAAAAACAAAAACCCCAAACTACAAATATGGCTAGCTTGAAGCAAAATTGAGAAATCTTTGTACATAAATCGTTCCTGAGTGATGTAATACTTCAAGACTGCTTGAAAATGTATACAAAAGATTATATTCTACCTCAGTGGGCACTGTGGAGTTCAGTTTTCTGTTTATAGTATGTTCCAGTTGTTAGTGTGGGGGGGACAACACATACTGGATGAGCAGAGAGGAATGACAAGGCAGAAGCTTGTTCATTAAGGAATTCCAACTCTGACCAGCTGACACTTCCTGTGACAAGTGGAAATTTTTTCCTGACAGGTGCATACCTCTGATATACTCTGGAATTAGCTTGGGGATAATTATGCTTTTCTAAAAGCAGGCTAATACTAAGAAAAACAGAAGAATGTGCTTTCTAGTTTTAGGTGGCTGGATTTTCTTGTTCTATAAAAGCTCACAGTGAGCTTGTTAGAGAATGAGCTCATTCTTTCAGAGAAGGCTCATTTTTGCTTTTTCTCTTCACTTTTCCAATAACATGAAATGAACTGAAGAAAAGGGACACTGATGTTTCAGAGAACTCAGTCTGGTCTCTGAAACCTTTGGGGCTATAGTAGTAATACACTGCTAAAAAGGAAATTATTAAAGGATCATCTGCATCAGGAATACAATGACTATGTGTAGGTCCAGAGCACAGATTGAAGCCGGGCACGGGTGGCCACGCCTATAATCCTAGCTACTCAGGAGGCTGAGATCTGAGGATTGCAGTTCAAAGCCAGCCTGAGCAGAAAAAGTCTGAGACTTTCTCCAGGAAACCAGCAGAAAACCGGAAGTGGTGTTGTGGCTCAAGTGGTAGAGTGCTTGCCTTCTTGAGCTGAATAGCTGAGGGACAGTACCCAGGTCCCAAGTTCAAGCCCACAATGGACAAAAAAATACCAGTTAGCTAAGTACTTATATTTATATTGAGCCTTTGCCTGGATAATATCAGAATACATATTTATCTAATATATATATTAGACAAAACATAGCTGGGCATAGTAGTTCATACCCATAATCCCAATATTTGGAAGGCAGGAAGATTCTAAGTCCAAGGCCAGCTGGGGCTACATAGTAAGTTCAAAGTCAGCCTGATCTACATTGATCCTGCATTAAAATAAAAATAAAAAGCTTATAGACCAACTGGCTAATGAGTGTCCAAGTATATTTTCTCAGCATGAGCTGGGATTTTTAAAGCACTGGCTGCCAGGAGTCGTTGGCTCATGCCTCTAATCCTAGCTAATAAGGAGGATGAGGTCTAAGGATTGCTTGAGGCTTGTCCAGGCAGGAAAGTCTGTGATACTTGTAACTCTAATTTAAAAAAGCTGGAAATAGAGCTGTGGCTCTAGTGGTAGAGCGCTAGCCTTGAGCAAAAAACAAAACAAAAACAACTCGCTAATCTAGGTGACAAGCTATTATTGCCTGCCCGTTTATCCTTCCTCCTGAGGATAAGTCCAAGAACCTCAGATTCATTAAGGAATCTAAAGAACCTACTCCTACATCTACCCACCTATCCAACCTTCACCCCAGGTTTTTGGAGCAGCAGTTTCTGTAAAAGTTGCATTAAAAGCAATATTAATTTTGTACTACTAATTCTAGTGTCTCACATCTTCAAAGGAAGAATATCCTGAACTAGAATAGAATGGCTTCTTCCTTAATCAGTACCAGTTCTAGATAAGCAGGTAACAGTGACCAACCATGCAGCCATAGGAAGGAATACAAGCCACTGCCTTCCTGCTAAAGCCTGAGCCACCTTCTCCCTCTGCAAAAACAGCAGCACAGTGATATTTCAGGCTCTCCCTGTGTCAGACTCCTGACATGCACCATATGTAGCTGCAAATCCCAATCAATTTCAACATTTCTTAACTGCTGGAACGCCTTTCTCAACACTGTAATTTACCATCAAAAGAATAGAGAGCAAGCACCCTCGCCTTCCCAGAACCATATTCTTTTAAATGCCACCCCACTCCCATATCCCACTAACCTACCTACGCAAAGGAGGAAAGCACATAACCCTTCTCCCAAGCCTGCAACAGACGGCCGCAATACATATGCCACTGACAAGAACTTTTATTTCTTTTTAATGACATTAAACACAACTGCTACAAGGGAAGAAACATGATAAAGAGGAGGCACTACACTTCCGTTTCATAACTGATCCTGACAACAATGCAAGTACATCAGAACCTGTTCTAGATGAAAACTATAGGCTATTTCAGGCTCCATTTTTAGAAGAAAAAAAAAATAGCACATTTTTACTCTGCTTTGTCAAGACCCCTGTGGGGAGAATGTCATCACAGATGAAGAAAGCTAGGTAAGTAGTTAAATGCACCTAACCCTTACTCAAATTTAAACATATAGCAAAAAATCTACCTGAAATACTAGACTTATGTCAAACATCAAACGTAAGAGATATGCAGCTTTGAAAAGAGATTAAAACTCCAGTTTCTACCCATTACCATCTTAAGGCAAACATGCCAGATGAGTTTTCTTTGGCTTTGTTTTTCTTTCTAAAGAATACCATGTTAACCACTAGAGAACAGCTCTCTCCTCCCCCAGTCCAACAGATTTAATTAAGCTGCTAAAGCTTTGGAAAAACAGATTTGAGCAAAGAGGAAATGTGATTGTCACATTTTCTAGTTAACCTGTCACTCATTTGATTTGGCAAAGGCAACACTCCTATTACACATTTAGTTTTAAAACTTTCCTGTACCAGAAGGGCAAGAACATCTCAGATGTTTGCCGAAGCAAAATGCTGTCTCAAGCCAGGTGCCAGTGCTCACACCTGTAATCCTAGTGACTCAGGAGGCTGAGATCTGAGGATTGCAGTTTGAAACTAGCCCGGGCGGGAAAGTCCCTGTGAGACACTCATCTCCAATTAACCACCAGAAAACCGGAAGTGGCGCTGTGGCTCAAGAGGTAGAGCGATAGCCTTGAACTGAAGAGCTCAGGGACAGCACCCAGGCCCAGAGTTCAAGCCCCACAACCGACAACAAAAAATAAAATTAAATAAAAATAAATAAATAAAAATGCTGTCCCTTCACTCCTTGGGTTACCTGTGAGGAACAAGACAGCTGCAATGCTAGCTAGTCCAGCTATGTTTAATTTGAATTACGCTTTGGTCCCAAAGATGGATGTTTGGCTTGTCTCACTTCATCAGGCTAATTTCAGGCAGATTAGAGAAGTGACCAGTGACATAAATGCCAATTACCCCAACTAAGGTAGTAGATTCTGACTACTGTTTTTGCATGGAATTCCTCTACTGAATTGTAATCACAGAATTTAAATCAAATGTCTAAGGAAAGAGAATCTTTGACTGGATAAAAAAAGTAAACAGAAACACCTATCTAATTTATCAGAGGCTTGAATGACCATGCTTTTCTCAAGTCAGTTTCTACACTGGGGTAGGATTTTTAAGATAGCTTACATACATACAAAGATGGAGCTGATGAAAGAAAACTAACAGAGGCTACAGGAACTATGAACACCTTCACAGGGTAAATAACAGCTGTGTGAGTGCCAGATTGCAAAACTTTCCAAAATGATAGCTAGAGATGTCTATAATGAGAAAATAACAAACTCCTAAGATATCCATTAAGAAAAATGCACAAAGTCTGTTAGCTTTGGTTATAATACCAAACCTTAAGATCAAGTAATGCATTTGTGCACGGCTCAATCAGAATTCTATTAGACCCACTTGAGCAGTTACGTGAAACTATGTATCTGCGGCTGGACCAACAGACAGTAATATCCAGGGTCTAAAAGTACCTATTAACTAATGATGGAGACATCAGTGCCTCCTCAAAGGCTTCCGTAGGAAAGAAGCACTTTGACTGACACACTAAAGGTTGGGGAACAGACAATGAAGCTTAAGATCAACAGACACCTCAGTAACACTGGTTTGCTGATCAGTCAAGAGTGGTGGACAACCTTTAATAAAGAAAACGAGAAGGCCAATCTGAAAAGGCATATGGCATATTCAAGTCTAACATGATACAGAAATACTATCTGTAGAACCCTAGGGAACAAAGTGAGTTGTTAGGGGTGGGGAGGGGGGAAAGGAGTATCTTAAAAAAGGGCAAAGAAGACAATCAGAAAACCACAAGGTATTCAAGAAAGGCTAGTCAGCAGTCTTCTGTCAACTAACAATGTATAAGATTTGTAAACAATATGTGCAAAATAAATTTAGCAGAAAATGAAAATAGCCAATAATAAATAATAATAATGGCAGCTAATAGGTACAGAAAGGAGATTTATGTTTTTAATTCTTCCTTTCACTAGGATTTTTTTTCCTACTCCACCCTACTTCAAATGTCCTGATTACCAACTTTAAAATACTGACAAGTGTTCCAAGATTCAAATTTAAGAAGTAAAAAGGGTCATTAAAAGTGACATATCTACCAGCCTGGGCAGAAAAGTCTATGAGACTCCACCTCCAATTAACCAGCAAAATGCTGAACTGAAGGCATAGCCTCAAGAGATAGAGTGCCAGCAAGAAAGCCTATCAAGAGCATAAGGCCCTCAATTCAAGCTCCAGTACCAGCACATGTGCAAGCACGCAAACACACCCACTCTCACACAAAGTGACTTATATCCATTCACAAGACATCAGCAATAATTAACATTGGCTCATAGCCTGGTAAAGAATCTCTTCCTTACAGTAGATTAAAACATGACTTCTTTTGGGCACCAGAAGTAGGCTTTACCTCTACACAGAGGTGGATGTTCTGTTGAACCTGGGTTTTGGCTTAATGCTTATCTTCAAGAGGCAGTCAATTTAAATTAAAACAAAAACAAAACAAAACAAACCCATCAATTTAACACTGCTTAAACACACACAAACACACAAAATCAGGAAGGTCCTCATACAAAAAAATTCAAGTCAGCAATGGGCATTTCCAAAAGGTGACAAGTTCGTTAAATAAAAATTTTGTGAAAAATAAACTTCAAAATATGTAAAGCACAAAACAGCAGAAAAGAGATGCTGCTCTGAACAGGGCCCTGGCTAGGACCTTCATTGCTGATGGGATGAAACATATGGACTATAGAAGTCTGGTAGACGCTTGAACCGATGGTGGCTTCGCTTGTTCCTGTCAACCCACTGAGTCAGACTGTATCTTTGCAGAGGTTTCTGTCGGAACCGGGCATAATTTCTATCAAGAGAGGGAGAATAAAAACAGGAAGCATATTTCAGCTGGAACAGCAATTTATACACAAAAGGCCAGGACTCTCAAAATTCTTATTTTTAGAACTCAGATTAATTTTCTTTTTCTTTTTGTCAGTCATGGTGCTTGAACTCAGGTCCTGGGCTCTGTCCCTGAGCTCTTTTGCTCATGACTAGAGCTCTACCACTTTGAGCCCCACTTCTGGTTTTCTGGTGGTTAATTAGAGATAAGAGTCTCACAGCCAGGTGCTGGTGGCTCACGCCTGTAATCCTAGCTATTCAGGAGGCTGAGATCTGAGGATCATGGTTCAAAGCCAGCCTGGGCAGGAGAGACTGTGAGACTCCTATCTCCAATAAACCACCAGAAAACTGGAAGTGGTGCTGTAGCTCAAGTGGTAGAGCACTCGCCTTGAGCTGAAGAGCTGAGGGACAGCACCCAGGCCCAGAGTTCAAGTCCCACGACCGACCAAAAAAAAAAAGTCTCACGGATTTTCCTGCCTGAGCTGGCTTTGAACCTTGAGCCTCATATCTCAGCCTTCTGAGTAGCTAGGATTATAAGCATGAGCCACTGTCACCCAGCTTTAATTTTATATTTCTATTTTGATAATTTTATACTATTTCAAATATATGACAGCAATATCCTATTTCCTGCTAACTCACAATACCTCAGATATTAATCATTATATGTGCCACAAAGTATTCTTAGAAAAACTAATGTACAATAATATTTAGGAAGCCAGGTATTAGTGGCTCATACCTGTAATCCTAGGCTGAGATCTGAGGATTGCTTTTTGAAGCCAATCCTGGCAGAAAAATCTGTGAAACTCTTATTTTCAAGAAAAAAATAAGAAAAAGCTAGAAGTGGTGCTGTGGCTCAAGTGGTAGAGCACTAGCCTTGAGAAGCTCAGGACGGTGCCCATGCCTTGAATTTAAGCTTCAGGACTGGCATACACAAACAAATAATGTTTAGAAGCTGGGTTTATTTAAGGTCAGCCTGGACTACACAGCAAGATCTGAGAGAGAGAGAGAGAGAGAAGAAAAGAAGGGATGAGGGAGAGAGGGGCAGAGACAGACACAAAGACAGAGATATATCTTGAAGAAAGAGATACAGAGAGAGAGAATAAATCATGTTTAAGTAAGGACAATGAAAAATATTTCTCCCTCTAGAAGCATTGACAGCAGGATCTGTTTCCTTGCTTGCAGCAGACCTGCACTTCCAACATGAGTTCATTGACATATAGCTCAGGACACAGTTAAAATCTGAAACAATTTCTCAGATCAGTTTCATGTTTGAAGTTTGAAGACTAAATAATAGCAGACAAGGCTGTACTGGAGGTCTAAGCAAGACCTAATATACAATCTTTTTTTTTTTTTTAGCTGAGGTTTGAACTCAGGTCCTCATGCTTACTTGCTTTGCTTGCTTGGTTGTTACTCTATAACCACAGTCATGTCCTCCAGATCTCAACCTCCTGAATGCTAGGATTATAAGCATGAGCCACTGGTACCCAGCTGGATCCATTCTCAACACCAAAAATGATCCTAATAACTATCTTGGAAGCTTTTTAAAGACATGGCTTCTTAGCCAGATGTGGTGCTACAGCTGAGCCAGAAGGATCTTGAGTTTGAGGTCGGTCTGGGTGACAAGGTGTGATTTTTGGCTCTTTCCCCAGATGTAATGACTCAGAATCCCTGGAGTCAGGGCCTAGACATCTATACTTACAGATATCTCAATAGGTAGTTATAATGAGCATAGGACTATAAATAATACAACAGTACCTGACATTTATTCTGTCACTATAGATATTTGCTTCATTCTTTAAACATTTCATCATCCTAAAAACTAGTGAAACCCACTAGACCTGATGGTTTACATATGTAATCCTAGCTATTCAGGAAACTGAGATCCTAGGGTCACGGTTCAAAGACAGCCTGGGCAGGAAAGTTTAAGAGACTCTTATCTCCAACTAAACACCAGAAAACTGGAAGTGGCCCTGTGGCTCAAAGTGGTAGAGCTCTAGCCTTGAGCAAAAGAGCTCAGAGACAGTGCCCAGGCTCTGGATTCAAGCCCCATGAGCACCACTACCAATAACAACAAAGCCAGGCTAGAGGTTTGGTTCTAGTAGAATGCAAGCTGTGGACAAGAGACTCTGAGTTCAGACTAGTACTTGCCAAAAAAGGAAAAAGCTAGTGAAATTATACTAGGCAAGGACTCTCAACTTCTTGCACAAGTAGGGAAACTAAGGCTCAAGTTAAATAATTTGCCCAGGTCATTACATAGAAAAGTTTTAATTTTAATTCATTTCTGATTCTAAAATTTATATAATAATAAATCTATTACATGGTCTTTTTCTTTTTGTGGGATAGGAATGGGGATTAAACCCAGGACCTTGTACATGCTAGAAAAGTATCTACCACCAAGCTACACCTCCAGTCTATACTGCCTTTCTTTCTGAGAAGTGCTATGATTTTGATGTTTAAAAGACATGAAGAAGCAGGGCATGATGGTGCACATCTGTAACCCAGCTCCTAGGAGGTCAAGATAAGAAGGTTAAGAATTCAAGGTGAGCTAGAGTATATATTGAGATCCTGTATAAAACAAAACAAACAAAAACAGAACAGCAGGAAGCTGGAAGCCTGTGGTTCACACCTATAATCCTATCTATTCAGGAGGACTAAGGTTCTAAGCCAGCTCAGGCAGAAAAGCACGTAAGATTCCATCTCTAAAATAACTAACAAAAAGGCCAAATTGGAGGCATGGCTCAAGTGATAGAGTACCTTGCTAGCAAGAAAGCCTATCAAGCGCAAGGTCCTGGGTTCAAATCCTAGTTCCACCAAAAAAAACAAAACAGGGATTAGGAAACCAGTGTAAATAGAACTGAATGAACAACAGAAAAAGTAGCAGGAGATGAGGTTAGTGAAGTTACATCAAAGCATAAAGGCATTTCTGAGGGCCTGTGAGGACAGGAAGATAAGATTATGGGAAACCACAAGGAAACTAAGCAAAGAAGATAATATGACTAATGCTTTTAAAGAATCTCTTTGGCAGCCAGATGCTGGTGGCTCATTCCTATAAGCCTAGCTCCTTGGGAGGCTGAGATCTGCAGACCAAGGTTCAAAGCCAGTGTGGGCAGGAAGTCTTATGAAACTTTATTTCCAATTAACTACCAAAAGAAATTGGAAGTGGCTCAGAGAAAGTACCCAAAGCCCTGAGTTCAAGCCCCAGGACTGGCACAAAACAAAACAAAACAAAAAAAACTCCTTTGGCTACTGAGTTAAGAACGGTAGGCAGGCAATGTCAGAAACAGGGAGAACATTTAGAAAATTCACAAAATCTAGGTCAAATAATGAGAAGTGGTCATGATCTGGATATGTAGAATCTATAGGATTTGCTGATGGACTAAATGTACAGAATATTAAGAAAAAGGAGTCAAAGATAATTTGAAGGGTTTCTTTTGGCAGTTAATGGAGTTTGAACTTAGGACCTCACGCTTGCTAGGCAGGTACTCTATCACATGAAGCATCTCCCTACTCCAAAGTCTTTGAGTATTAATCTAGGTAAGTACTCTACTATTTGAGCCACATCCCAGTCCTGTTTGCATATTAATCTATAAAGCTGAACTACATAAAGAACCCAGACTTGAGAATTAGAAAGATCTTTGACATCAATTAGTCTAACATCTTTATTCTGCTGATGAGATGACAAGAAAAGTGAAGTGATTTAATTAAAATCATGCCAGTTAACTATTACAAAGCTAGTATCAGAACCCGTTTCCTGGGTTTCATTCTAGTTCTTTTACTTGGTGCCAGATCTGGGCTTGAACTCAAGATCTAAGCATTGTCCCTGAGGTGTGTGAGTGTGTGTGGTTTGTAGTGTACTCAAGGCCTAAGCAGTGTCCCAGAGAGAGAGAGAGAGAGAGAGAGAGAAAGAGAGAGAGTGTGTGTGTGTGTGCTTAAAGCCTAAGCACTGTCCCTGTGTGTGCACAAATGCACACACTTGCACAAACACACAATCCTAGGCCCTGGGAACTGTCCCTGAGCTTTTTTGCTCAAGGCTAATGCTCTACTACAGGAGCCACAGCTCCACTTCTGGCTTTTTTGATGATTAATTGGAAATAAGAGTCTCACAGACTTTCCTGCCAGGGCTGGCTTTACACCCCAATCCTCTGATCTCAGCTTCCTGAATTGCTAAGATTACTAGAGCTCGGCTTTTTAACTCCAGTTCTTATCTTTCATTTCCCCCCACTGTAAATACATAACTAAATCCCAACTCCCCACCATCTTTCCCTGAAGCCAAATTCCACCCTTTTCTTCTTCTAATTATTTACTCACCTAGTAGTAAGATCTGAAGGATGCTGCCAGTCTGGGTTCTGCATATGAACTTGATCCATCAAAGTATCCAGCTCCCCCGAAGTACCTGTGAAAAAGACCAGTGGTTAGGAAGCAGTTTAGAAAACTACTATGTCAGCCTAAATCAAAGCATATGCTTTCAGAACAGAAAAATAGGTACTAGTCCTTTTTTTTTTTGCCAGTCCTGGAGCTCAAACTCAGGGCCTGGGCACTGTCCTTGAGCTTCTTTTGCTCAAGGGTAGCACTCTACCACTTATGCCACAACTCCATTTGTGGCCTTTTTTGTTTATGTGATACTGAGGAACTGAACCCAGGGCTTCCTGCATGCTAGGCAAACACTCCACCACTAAGCCACATTCCCAGTCCAGGAACTAGGCTTAGTAGCTAATTATGATTATTATAAACCCCAAAACTTCAAGGCAAAGTGAGGAGCTGCTCTTAGATGACAATGAAACGGTAATGGCAGCTGCTATTCATATACTCAACATTAGCTGCTACAATAAAAGAAGTTTACTAGTTCCTAAGAACATGCTAGTGAAAGATACGTTGTACCTGCCCTCTGGTTAAATATAGTAGAAAGGTGATTTCAAAAACATGGTTTAGGGGTTGGAGGTGTGGCCCAGGTGGCAGGATACCTGCCAATAGAAAAAGCATCAGACACTGAGTTTGAGTCCTGGTCTCAGACAAAAAAAAAGAACAAAAAAAGGTGTGGTTAAATGGCATGATGGAGAAACAGAAGCTGCTATTGAGAGTTTGGGAATTAGGAAAATCCTTCTACAAAGGAAGTAAACTATAAGCAGGGATCTAATGGATGTACAGAAGAGATGTAAGACGTTGAGGTGTCCAAAAGAAAGTTAATGTTAATAAGAAATCCAGAGACAAATGATGGCAAAATATGTTCAAGAAACAAGGAGTTTAGAACAACTGAGGTGTATACTCTTTGTTGACAAGAAAAATTGCTAGGGATACTTTCTGTAAAGCCTGGGAGCCAAATAATGTCCTAAGCATGCTTCACATGTTCTTACTTAATTCTAAAAGAGTAACTTACATAGAGATAGATGCTATTAACATTTCACAGAGGGGAAACTATAGCTCAGAGATGTGAACTTGCCTTAAAAGCTTACTAACCCAGAATTCAATTAGTTCCTGATGTGACACCAGGCACTTGCCACTGTGTAATAATGCTAATTTTATACTTAAGCTAAAGTCTCCAGAACAGAAATAAAATACTAGTGAGGAAACAATTTCTCCTGACTAGTGACTCTTAAACTACACATCAAAATCAGCTGGATAGATTATAAAGTTTTCTGTTTTCTACTCCAGAATTTCTGATTATGTTGGTCTGGGGTGGGTCTTAATTAAAAATTTTAACATATTTCCAGTGCTGTTGATGCTGTTGATAATCTGAGAACCACACTCTTAAGACCACTGTCCTGGACAGCTTTTATTTAACTAGTTATGTGTTTCTCATTCCTCTACTGTTTTCAAGAACTAAGCTAGTCTAATCAAGGCTATAAGACCATCTTTTTAGATTCTAGTAAAGATAACTTTTAGTAGCAATTATCTGAAAACTCATGAAGATTTGTAGACAAAGTGTTGGGAGTTAGGCAGTCTTGAGTTAAAATTTAAATGCAACTAATGATCTCTGTGACCCAGAGCAAATCATTTTACTTCTTGAGCCTTACTTTACTCATCAGAAAAAAGTGGATAAATAGTAAATAAAATATGAAAAAAGAGGTCGAAGGCATGGCTCCAGTGGAAGAGTACCAGCTGAATAAGCTGAAGCATCAGATACAGAGTGAGAATCCTGGTCTTGGGGGGTGGGAAGAAAGTTCAATTTCATCAATATAAAATTTAAAAAACAGGTTTGGGAATGTGGCTTGCCTAACATACATGAAGCCCTCGGTTTGATTCCTCAATACCACATAAACAGAAAGAGCTGTAAGTGGCACTGTGGCTCAAGTGGTAAGAGTGCTAGTATTGAGCAAAAGCAGCTCAGGGACAATGCTCAGGCCCTGAGTTCAAGCCCCAGGACTGGAGGAAAAAAAATTTACTCACATTCCTTGTGAATAAAATATAAATCTGAAACACACTTCCCTTTTTTTGGGGGGGGGAGGGGGACAACTATGTAATCCAGGCTGGCCTTAAACTTGTGACCTTTCTACCTCACACCTAGCCGGGAAGTAGCTCTTGATCAGAAAATGCTTTGCCTGAACTGGAGAGGCTAAGGCAGGAAGCTCACCTGAACTCATAAGTTCCAGGCCAGCCTGGGCAACTTAAGAGGATCTCTTTTAAAAAAAAAATTAAAAATAGGGAAGCGGGAAAGTGGCTGAGTGGTAGAATGCTTGCCTGGCATGCATGAAGTCCGGGGTTCAATTCCTTAGTACCACGTAAACAGAAAAAGCAGAAAGTGAAACTGTCTCGAGTGGTAGAGTGCTAGCCTTGAGCAAAAGAAGCTCAGAGACAGGGCCCAGGCCCTGAGTTCAAACCCCAGGACTGGTACTGGGTACCAGTGGCTCATCCCTGTAATCCTCACTACTAAGGAGGTTAAGATCTCAGAAATGTGGTTTGGAGCCAGCCTAGGCAAGAAAGTCTATAAAACTTATCTATAATAAACTTGAGCTGTGGCTCAAGTTGTAAAGTGTTAGCTCTGAACAAAAGAAACTCAAGGATAGTACCCAGGCATTGAGTTCAAACCCCAGAAGAAAAAAAAATAAAAATTCTTTGTCCAGGGCTTGGAAGGTGGCTCAGTGGTAGAATTCATGAGACCCTGGGTTCGATTCTTCAGCACCACATAAGCAGAAAAAGCTAGAAGAGATGCTGTGGCTCAAATGGTAGAGCACTAGCCTTGAGCTGAAGAGCTGAGGGACAGCGCCCAGGCCCAGAGTTCAGGCCCCACGCACAACTGACACAAATAAATAAATAAAAGTATTTGTCCAATGTATTGGTACAAATTCACTTTCCTATCCCTTGTACAGTATAAGCATATGTGAGGCTCTGAGTTTAACCTCCACAAAATTGTTGGAATTGGGTAGCATCTATTATATTAGCTATCTGCTCATTGTTATACATGTATCTGTCATTGAGTTCTAAAAATTGTAACAGAATGCCACCGTCTCTATCTTATTCATGAATAAACTGAAGCTTAGCAACAACACTCATCTATAATCTAACAAATGGAAATGCCACAATTCAAACCTAGGTAGGCCTAATAATCCCCAACTTTATTTTAGCTCATAGCTTCAACCTCTTCTTCCTTCAAATTTAGAGATGTTAACAAGAATGGGAACATTTAAATTTTTCTTCTCTTCATAGTCTCTAGCAGATGGGCTTTCTTGGATCAACAATCAGTACCATGGTTTTATTTTAAGTAGTGGCTAAAGGTGGCAACAACTGTCCTTTGTCACTGAGAATGAAATTCATCTAAGAATGAAATTTGGATTAAAAAAAAAAAAGCCCTAGCATAAAAGGAATGATCAGATCAGTAATTCACCTAAACCTTAATGTGTGGAGGAAATTTCAACTTAATAACTGTCTTTAATAAGTGGAAAATGAATTGTTATAATAATTGGTAACCTTTAATGTTGTTATGGAAATTCTCAAAGATTTTATAGGTCACCATACTCTGTACCACATGATCCTACTCAATCAAGTGTGACAGAGGACTAAAGAATAGAATTATTCAGCTGGCTAATGAGTAGAATGTGGCCTAGCACCAACAGGTTATTAAGTGAATCAATCAGATACTGTCCTTTGGAATGTGAACTTCAGTAATGAGAGAGGGAGGGACAGTAGAAAGTAAGAGAGAGAACATAGCACACAAACAGGGCTTTAGAAGAGAACAATCACTTGAGACTGCTAATACAGTGGCAGATACAGTGGTGCTGTGGCTTAAATAGTAGAGTGCTAGCCTTGAGCAAAAAGAAGCTCAGACAGGGTCCAGGCCCTGAGTTCAAGCCCCAGGACTGGCAAAAAAAAACCCCCACAAAACTACATAATATGTCTGTTCCAGATAATCTAAAATATATAATATACGGGAAGGAATGAAGAAAAAAAGCTTAAAAAACAACAATGACAACTGTGATCCAAGGGGCATGGGTTACTGTAGATTACCAAATAAGAGAATTCAAGAATGTAAATATATATCACTTCTAGATCAATAAGACTAATAATCTAGCTGGGTGCCGGTGGCTTACCCTGTAATCCTAGCTACACGGAGGTTGAGATCTGGTTCAAAGCCAGCCCAAGCAGGAAAATCCGTCAGATTCTGATCTCTAATAAACCACTAGAAAATGGAATTGCCGTTGTGGCTCAAGCCGTAGAATGCTTGTCTTGAGCTGAAGCGCTCAGGGACAGAGAGCCCAAGCCTAGAGTTCAAGCCCCACAACTGACAAAAACAAACAAAAAAAACTCGTACAAATCTTGAATTTCTTTGCAATTATTACATAGTAAAAGGAAGAGGAATTATATAGAACTCTTTTTTCTTCTAATGGTATGGGGGTTTGAAGTCAGTTCCTTATGTGCTAGGCAGGTGCTCTACTACTGAGCCACACCTCCAGCCATTTTTGTGCTATTTTTAAAACAGGGGCTTGTTTCCTGCCTATGATGCACCTATTTTAGGATTTCTGTTGGTAGCCAGAATAACAGGTATAAACCACGATGTACAGCTCTCCATTGAAAAGGGATTATGCAAACTTCTATCTGGATGGTCTTCAGACTACAATCCTCCTAATCTCAGGGAACTAAGATTAAAGCATCAACTGTCAATGTCTAATTTATAAACCCACTTCTGAAATGGTAAACAGATACTGACATACAAATGTGCTTAAATGTTATAGCAAATACAGAACCTACTTACATAACCAGTGCTGCCTATGATTTTCCAATAAGAATCAAAGCAGAAACTTCCACTTCTAGCCAAGACGAATAGGGTCTTAACCTCTCATTGTAAACACCTAGAAACTGGGCAAAATATAAATAACAACTATCTTTGTATTATTCAGAATGTGATCTTTGAGTGAAAAGAAATAGAGGTAAGTCTTGAAATTTCTTATGTGTCTATAACTTTTCTTTTTTTTGTCAGTCATAGGGCTTGAACTGGGCCTGGGTGCTGTCCTTCAGCTCTCCAGCTCCAATTTTCTGGTGGTAACTGGATGTAAGAATCTCTTGGACTTTCCTGCCCAGTCTGGCTTTGAGCCACAATCCTCAGCTCTCAGCCTTCTGAGTAACTAGGATTACAAGGGTGAACCACCACTGCCTGGCTAAATTTTCTTTTCTTTTTTGAGGGGTGCCAGTCCTGGGGCTTTTACTCAAGACTGGCATCTGGGGCTTGAACTCAGGGCCTGGGGACTGTCCTTGACCTTCTTCTGGTCAAGGCTAGCACTCTACACTTGAATGCAGCTTTACTTCTGGCTTTTTTTTTTTAATGATTAATAAGAGTCTCACAGATATTTCTGCCCAGGCTGGCTTCAAACCATAATCTTCAGATCTCAGCCTGCTGAATACATAAAATTACAGGCATGAGTCACTGGTACCCAACGAGTCTATAAATTTTCAAAAGGCATTTTTAAATGAAAGGAAAATAAACACAAATAAAAGAGAGACCTATTACCAGCTGACATATACTATACTCAAAAAACAAAGGAGTTCCTCAGGGTAAAAGGCAAAATAATATCAGATGGAAACTTTTATCCATAGAAATGGAATCAAGAACATTAGAAATGGAGGATGGGAACATAACTCGGTGGAATAGTGCTTGCCTAGCATGTGTGAGGCCCTGGGCTCCATTTCTGGCACTGTAAAGAAGATGAAAAAGAAGAAAAAAAGACACCAGAAATGATAATTATATAACCAAACATAAAAGATGACTTTTGTTATTTAAAAAAGTCTTTTGAGCTGGGCACAAGTGGCTCACGTCTGTAATACTAGCTATTTGGAGGCTGAGATCTGAGAATCATGGTTTGAAGCCAGCTAAGGCAGGAAAGCCTGTGAGATTCTAATCTCCAACTAACCACCTTAAAATCAGAAGTGGAGCTGTTGCTCAGAGCACCCAGGCCCAGAGTTCAGGCCCCAGGACACACACGGACACACACGGACACACACGGACACACACACACACACACACACACACACACACACACACACGCACAACTACAGTGGAAAAAAGTTTGGCAGTTTCTCAAAAAAAAATATATATATATGTATAATTTTTAGGCAGAATTATCGGCCAGGTGCTGCTGGTAGCTCAGACCTGTAATCCTAGTTACTCAGGAGGCTGAGATCTGAGGATCACAGTTTGAAATTAGTCCAGGCAGGAAAGGAGGAAGTTGGGCTAGGACTCAAGTGGTAGACTGCTAATTTTGAACACAAAAGCTCAGCCAGAGCCCAGTCCTTGAGTTCAAGATCCAGGACTGGCACCAAAAAAGTTCTAGAGACAATTTGCAGTGCTGGGTACACTACAGCATGAATATATTTAAAACAAATGAACTATATAGTATTTTTTTAAACACAGAACAAATTTTAATTATGTATCTAGGCACAGGAGTCACTCCTATGAAAAGGTAACACTTATAAAGGGCCTGGAGGAACAAAACTTACAGAGCAGGCTTGGGATATCTGAGGGAGGGTAAGCATGGCAACAATTTGTGGGAGAGTATGGGGAAGAAATGTATGTCGAATGGAGTTTGCCCTGTTCTTCACATGAAAAGACTCTTAAGGTACTAGGCATAGAGGTCAGTCCATTTTTGTGATCCTAGAACTTGAGATGCTCAGGCAGGATGATGGCCAGTTCCAAGCCAGCCTGGCCTACATTATATTGGCTTAAAGGCAATATTAAAGTTATATATTGTATTATACTCTTTCTTTGACCAAAAAAGTTAAATTTTCTCTCTTTATATTAAATAAATTATAAAATTTTCATTAAACATGCTGTAATACCTTGGACACTTACATATCAACTCCTATTTTAGAGGTGACAACGAGGGTCTACTGGGCATATAAAGATTCAAAATCAACTACAAACCCTCTGTTCTTTCTGCAACTTCTGCAGTGCCTGTTCAGAGGGAGATGAAGCAAAAGGTTCAATAACTCTTGTGCTTTCTCTTAGTTGGATTTTATGTTCAGCACTGGAGAATGAACTGTATAGATTTTTTAAATTGTTGTTGTTGTTGGTCGCGGGGCCTGAACTCTGGGCCTAGGCACTGTTCCTCAGCGCTTCAGCTCAAGGCTAGCCTTCTACAACTTGAGCCTGAAGTGTACAGTTTTAAACAGGGGGAAAAAAAGTTTTAAAGAAGGCAATATATATGTTTTATCTATTTTATAATAAAAATTAGGAACAAATGCAGCAGTGGTACTTAGGAGACACTGTTGAAAATGAACTATACAACTTGTGGATAGAGACCAGGGGGAAAAACTGGAAGAGAGAAGGGGTAACACTGTCCAAAAAGAAATGTACTCACTACATGACTTATAAAATAGTAACCCCTCTGTACATCACCTTTATAATAATAAAAAATGTTTAATAAAAATAGGAAAAAAATTAAAGACTGATCATACCAAGTATTGGTAAGATAGAACTACTAGTGTTCTAACACAGTAGAAAGATAAATGGTACAATTATTGTGCATATCTACATAAAGACTTGCACACAAATATTCCTAAAGCTTCATCTGGGCTAGGCACCGGTGGCTCACACCTGTAATCCTAGCTACTCAGGAGGCTGAGATCTGAGGATCATGGTTTAAAGCCAGCCTGGGCAGGAAAGACTGTGAGACTCCTATCTCCAATAAACCACCAGAAAACCGCAAGTGGCACTGTAGCTCAAGTGGTAGAGCGCTCACCTTGAGCTGAAGGACAGCACCCAGGCCTAAAGGTTCAAGCCCCACGACCGACACACAGACACACAGACACACACACACAGACACACACACACACACACACACAGCTTCATCTGTAATGGCTAAAATTGGGCACAAAACAAATCTTCATCAACAGATGAATGGGTGACAATAAATGTGATACATTTATATAATGGAATACTATCAGCAGTAAAAATAAGGTATTGACGACAAAACTAACAGGACTTAAGAAACAAAGAACTCCCACTCATCTGGTTGAACCACTACTAAATATCCCCATGCTGCTGATCACATATATGGCATACAACATGTGAACACTGTTATATGTTACAGACTGTGATAGACAATTTGCTCCAGGAAAGTTAGAATGAACTTGTGACTTTAAATGAGCATCATTATTCCACAATACTGTGAAATTCCGGAAATTATGTAATCACTTAATCACAATTAAAAAAAAAAAGAACCTCGGGGAAGGGAGGGAGGGAGGGGATGGTAGGGGGAAAACAATGAAGGGGGTAACAATGTTCAATAGGAAGTGTACTCATTACCTCACTCATGTAACTGTAACCCTCTGTATAGTATCTTTACAATAAAAAAATAATTAAAAAAATAAGGTATTGATACATGCAGCAACAATTATAAGTTTAAAAATAATAATGCTGAGAAAAAGCTGGAAGTGGCACTGTGGCTCAAGTGGCAGAGCACTAGCCTTGAGCTGAAGAGCTGAGGGACAGCACCCAAGCTCAGAGTTCAGGCCCCATGACCGATAAAATACTACTATTACTACTATTAATAATAATAATAATAATGCTGAGAAAAAGCTGGAAGTGGCACTGTGGCTCAAGTGGCAGAGCACTAGCCTTGAGCTGAAGAGCTGAGGGACAGCACCCAAGCTCAGAGTTCAGGCCCCATGACCGATAAAATACTACTATTACTACTATTAATAATAATAATAATAATGCTGAGAAAAAGAAGCCAGGCTCAAAATAAGAGCACATATTTTATGACTCCATATATATAAACTCTAGAAAATACAAACTGCAGTAACAGCCTATCATTGGCTTCCTGGGGACTAGGGTGGGAAACAAAGAAACTTTGGGGTCTGAGACACTTAACAGTGTTTGTAATTTCATGAATTACCACCTATGAAATTGTTATATGTTACTAAACTGTCCAGCCCTCCAAATTGTCAAAATTCAATAAAATGTAGACTTAGTATGAGCTACAGATACGGTTCAGTGGTAGAGCACTAAAATATAGTATATTGTATTTCAATTATAACTCAAAAAATCTTCATATAATTTGTAAACTGTGATATGAAAAAGAACTCTAGAAAATCATAAATGTAAATGTAGAAATGATACTATACTGTCAGTTAAAGTGTAGAAAGAGGTTAAGGAAATAATCCAGAAAATACTGTGGAGACAGAGGTAGAACAATAAAAAGAAGAGACTTAGAAGATCAATTCTTGAAGCTTTTAGGAGTTCCTGAAAAAGAAACAAAATACTGAGAAGAAACAATTATCAAAACAACAACAACAACAATAAAAACAACAACAAAACCCTCAAGAAATCTTTTTTTTGTCAGTTGTGGGGCTTCAACTCAGGGCCTGGGCATTGTCCTCAGCTCTTCAGCTCAAGGTGAGCCCTCTACCACTTGAGCCACAGTGCCACTTCCGGTTTTCTAGTGGTTTATTGGAGATAAGAGTCTCACAGACTTTCCTGCCCAGGCTGGCTTTGAACC